TCTAAATTTACATAAACACAGGAACAAAACATAAATGGGGAAATTATTGAGGGTTAAGATAGTTCATGACCTGACACAGGGGAATATCAATAGAAGCAATGTTAAGGATATGTTTTCACAGTTTTCACTTGGGAAATGGGGAAAAGGGTACACGCACTCGCGATTAAGGTTCATGACGATCTCCTCTAATATAATTTATGACACTTGATTAATATGGATTGATTATAGGATTTTATTTACACAATGTTTTTAGAGTTTATGTCCGAGATCTTCTTCACTATTTTCTATCTCCTCTTCTACGATCATTTTGAAGCAGATATGTGATAAGGTCTGAATAAGATATCTCTTCATTCTTCAGAGAAAACGTTTTTGCATTTTATTTAATAGTTTGATGTGTTTGGCGATATGTATTAATCTCCTCAAATGTCAATGTGCTGTCCTTTAGTGGATTACTTTGTTGATCATTGAAGTTGTGTGTTGTGCTATCACACTCATTATATATTACGTTATTGTGGTACACATCGTACATCATATTATCAAAATTATCATTTATATTATTATTTGGCCTATGGCTATTATTATTAACTACTATTTGACATATTTGTCCCTCATGATGACACAAATTAAACTTCACTGTAACATTATTATTGTTGATTTGCATATTGATTTCATTTGTATCAAAATTCAAATCCATTTTAAGGGCGGATAGTACATCGACTCCAAGGATGACTGGCTTTATTAAGTTTGGCACTATTAAATATTCAGTAAGCACGGTATGTTTATTAATTGTGGTTGGGACATATATTGTTCGGGAAACACGCTTACTCTTTTCTCCTACAGCAGTTTTTATAACGGTATTATTTACAGGAAGTTCTTCAAATGGTTGTAGGTTTATTCTGTTTTCTTGAAACCATGATTCGGCTATACATGTAACTGACGAACCTGAATCAATTAAGGCATTTGTGTTGATGTTATTTAATTTTATGTTAATTTCTGGGCAGTTAATTTGAATGTAATTTTTGTTGACATTAGTTTCGGATTCATCTTCTAAGAGAAAGTTTTTATCACATAATATATTATTTGTCTGAATATGGCTAAGTATATGATTCCTAGATTGACCGAGGATTTCGTATTTTGGCGCTGTATTCAATGAAGAATCAGTTGACATAATTCTTTCTCGGCCGTAATCTACAGCGCCGAGTGGTTTTCCGACCTCTGTGGAGATCGTGAAACACGAGAACTTGAATGGTGGCTGTTTAGTTGTGGATTCATGGGTGGAGTACTCGGGTTATTAGGCGAGTTGGAATTTTGCCTATACATCGTACATAGTTGGTTCTGTTCCTTGGTAGGGTGATTATTATTATATTTGTAGTTTTGGCCATAGTTCCGGTCTGGGTAGTGGTCACGCTGATATGGTTTGTAGTCTCGGTGCACCCGTTGGTACTGTTGGGACTCATTACCATTGTTTCTGTTGTATCGGTAATTTTGTTGATTTCTATGATGTTGGTTGTTCTGTGCATAGTTATCGCTGTGTTGGAAGTTCTGGCGGTTCATCTTAGGTACGTAAGCTTGTTGGTTAGTAGATCGATCATGGTAACGTTGCGGGTTCTGTATGTTAGGGCTAGACGGTCTGCTGTTCTGATGACTGTTGTTGTAGCTCTTAACTTTCTTCGGTCCGTCTCGAATGTCATCCATCTGTAGAAGTCGTTCCATGGCTCTTATTGTGGTGATATTTTGCACATTAACACTGTCCTGGATGATTGGATCGAATCGCTCTGCCAATAATGATACGATCTCCTCTTCACTTAAACTAGGGGAGATGGATTGCAATAAAAGTACACGTTCGGTTAAATATTCCGTACGGCTCAAAGTTCCATTAGCTCGATATTTTTCAGACTCAATCTTGGCTTTTATTCCTCTTTGGACGGCTTGACTCCAATATTTGCACTCAAATTCCTTAACAAAATGGTCCCAATCAAGAATGTCTGATCTGATTAGTTGTAACCATCGGGATGCGGGTCCTTCAAATGACGTTTCCAATAGGTCTTTAAGGTATTCGGTTTGATCGCAGTTCATATTCCTTTCGATCCCTCTCTCGTAATATCGCTTAAGTTTGCGCAGATATTCCATTGGGTTACCGCTTCGTCCATTAAATTTCGGCAATTGACGATCATTGTTCTCATTACCGCTACAGATTACTTGAATCGCACCTGCTTGTCCATTTATTGGGTTAGCTTGCTTTAAGTTGTTTACTTCAGACTCACATTTGATTAAATTTTGGTTGAGAGTTTGAATTTCGAGCTGTTGTGTTTCAATTAATCTAGTTTGTAGGGTGATTTTAGGCAATACTTCATTTTGTAGGGCAGTTAAATTTATTTTTGAGTTACGTTCATTGTCAAGTTGTGTTTTAACTGTGATTTCTTCTATTTTCTGCTCAAAATTAGATTTATGTTCTTCTAACTGTGATTTTACGGTAGAGATTATTTGTTCTTGGAATTTGTTCTGCTCTATTTCTGAATTAGATTGTTGTTTTGATATGCTATTAACAACAAATTGCTTCAACTGATTTTGAGAGTCTTCAATTTTTAACATTAGCCGATCATTTAGTTTAGCTGTTTCTACAGTTAAAATACTTTGTGTTAATTTTATGGCATTTATTTCTGACTTTATTTCAATTTGACTTTCTCTAGTTTCACGTATTTGTGATTCAAATGCGTTTCTACAAGCTTGGATTTCTTGGTAGGTTTCGTTTATTTTATTGTTAAAGGTTTGAATTAGTTTAGCTTCAGTTTGATTAATCTGCAGTTTTGTTATTTCTTGGATTTCTGATTTAGTTTCACGGATTTCGTTTTTCGTTTCACGGATGTCTGACTTTAATTCAGCACTGGTTTGTTCAAACTTATTACTCAAGTTGGTCATAAGGTTAACTAACATGTTCATATCGATTGTGGGTGTCTGTACTGGAGGATTTGTGACGTTTAATTCATCAGTTGAAGTGTCGGAATGAGCTCGTGATTCACATTATGAACGGACTGAGACTGTGTTTGAGTGATATCAGCTGTTCGACGGCTGTCTGCAATATCGTCCATCGAGGTTCGGGTAACGTCGTTTAAGTCCGGTTGCATTCGGCACGACGGCACAATAATTGTGTTTTTGGTCGGTGGCGTTTCGGCTAGAGGCAGTTCGTGTGGCGGAACAAAGGCGGGTAAAGTCGAATGATCAACGCTGTCTGATTGGTCAATGGATCCGGTGAACGGTTGGTGGTCGTTGCAACTTGAGGCTTCTTCTCGGGTTAGTTGTTGTTCTGCTCGTTGCTCAAAATGGCTGCCGTGTGTTCTGTCATTTATGTCATCGTCGGCGTCGTTACTTGAACTCGACAATCTATCCAGAGACGGGTAGTTTCGTTTAGGCCGTAAATTATACTTATTTTCCGACATGTTAATATAAAATGTGTTAGGTCATGCGTGGTTATTAAATATGCGATGTTGTTGTGTTGATTATTTTGGGAACAGGGGCAATTACGGGACAAATTAAATAACAATGCAAACTCTTAAATCTAACAAACTTATAGGCTAGTTATGGTGAGAATTGCAATAAAGTTAATGAGCTATTCAAGCCAACACGTTGGTGCGCCAATTTGTAAACTCACCTTACAATATTCATTTAGGCTAGGCCTATTCTATAAATGTTCAAAGTTAATAAGTTAACAAAGATAAGGATTACAAAAGGTGTTTTATTTAAACAAATGAACAATTAACATGCAATGAGAAAAGGCTTAACGTTACAATGAAAGGATTGACAATGGTGTATGGGGTTAAAATTAAATTGAAATAAAAGATAAATTTGAATAATAACTTGAAGGTTCAAATAATTTAGATGTGATCCATCTCAGGGTAGGGTGTCGTGCTGGCTTGAATGCTAATAATTAATAAATGTAATAGTGTCCAAATAGGCCTAATTAAGGTGTTGAACTTATAAATCCCAACAATGAAAAATCTAATTTTGGTGTTGTCCAAAAGGTAAGTCCAATTAGCACAAAATTTAAAAGAGTTTAAAGAAAAGGTTATACTTAATTTTGAAGATAATGATTGAGTTGAGTCCTCTTGAGGTTTAGGCTACTATATGATATAACTTGAAACTTGAAATGAACTTGATTCTTGATAAATGAATTTGATTTAACTTAGGTAAAATTTTGACTCCTTCTTCTAACAATTTCAACTTCTCCAATGGCTTCCTTCTCTTTCCATCTCACTGTTCACATCACTGATTGTTGAACACATGGGATCACTTTCACTGCTTCTAATTTTGACTAATTTTGAAATGATATTATAAGAAATTTTGATGTATTGCAATTCTCTTACATATTTAATAAATAATTAGGTTGTGGGCGTTGTAAAAAAAAATATAGGCTATGGAATGAATATTATTAATGATTAATTGAATATATTAATGAAATTATATAAATTAGGAAAATGAATATTAGGACAGTCTTTCTGAGGAGTGACTATTAGGTGTATGAATAGAAGTTAACATAAAAAAAAACTTAATACTAAATAATGAATGAAATGAAATGAAATATTACATTTACAATTCTTTAATTTCCTTTTAGAAGCATAGCCTGGCCAGTCCACTAACCCCTCTCTGTCACACTATAACACCACTTCGCCAGTCTTGAAAACCTTGCAATGTAGCCTATACCTCTTACCTAAAGTCATATATTCATCTTGCGTGGTAGGGTGAATAAACTACAACTCATTCAGTTTGTAAGTAAACAGGAATTACTTTTCAAGAGAGGCTAGTCTATTTTTTTCAATACTAAGTTTACAATGCCTAGCCTTAGCCTATGATATTTATTATTATTATGAGCTATTTAATTTGTCTATGGCAGTATTATTTGTTCTTCATTTACAAATATTGGATAAGCCTACATTATAATAGTCAAACTAAATTTAAGAAAATTTAAGAAAGTTATGCTATACCAAGAGTTTTTTTTTTTTCAGAACTTTTTGCGTAATGTTGCTCGAAAAATAATTTTTAACCCTGACGACATTCAAAGGGTTTTCAACGTTATTGAGGAAGCTTGTAAAAAGGAAACTGAGTCAACTACTCGGCAAGACAAGGCACAGAAACCTCAAGTAAAGGATATAGTCAGTTTGAAAGAGGCTGCCAAAAGTAACGGCGTAACGGACGATAAGATTGATGAAAACATCAAAGATTCTAAGTCAAATAAGAAAAATAAATCATCAAATAAATCTGTCATATCAAATAATGAACTACCTGCTACAGAAAATCCCTCAGATGAATCAATTGATATTATCGACCAAACCAAGTTCAAACCAAAGAGGATAAAAAATAAAATGCTAACTGATGAATCCACCCAAATGGATGCTCAAAATTTAGAAAATGAAGGTTCTCTTAATGAAAGCAGCACAGTTGTTAATGAGGTTAAGCATAGTATTGAATCTAAGAAATCAAAGAAAGAAAAGCGTAAATGTAAATCACTTAGTTTGGACCAAGAAGGTGTAGAAACCCCAGGCATCAATGAGAACAAGCCTGTTTCTGATCTCAAAAATGGTACTCATGATGACAGTAAAGAGAATGTAGTAGAGATATCAAGAAAACAAATAAAAAAACAAAAGAAGTATGAAAAGTATCTTGAAGAGCTGGAAAAAACAGGCGACAATGCGCTTAATGAAAATCAAGTTAATGTAGAAGCCAATGACTGTAAGAAAAAACCCAAGAAAAATAAGACCTTGGATACTAATGAATGTGATGAGAGACATTCAACAACAAAAGCACATAGTAAAGAAAATAAAAAACGCAAGCTAGAAGAATGTTACACCGAAGTTCCAGAAAAAAGGACAAAGGAGCATTCTGAAGATGGTAAGAACACTTTTTCGTCACTTAATAATTTATGTGCATAGGCTTATTTTAAGAGAACAGGTTTTTATGCTGGAAATGAGGGACTGTACAACTCACAAAACTGTTGTACAGCTGTACAACACCTTTTTGTGGGAAATTCAAACTTAGGATTAACAAGATCCCTAGTACAGTGATACAAGTATTTGTATAATAAAGTTGACATAACAATGTAATACTATAGTTCGGCTGCTTAGAAAACGACCTGCACGCTAATGCTAAGCCAATGCTGGAGGAGGTCGCTTACTAAGCGGCCGAACTATAGTGTCCCTGTTGCTCGAACTCGAGCAATTGCTAGGTATTACAGGTGTTTTTTTAAAACGGATAACAGTCATAATATAATTTCTGATGACTTTAAAAGATTCGACTCAAAGATTATGGAAATATTCAAAATGTACATAACAGATCGATATAATCAACATTTCTTGTAAATATCTTATCATTTTTCAAAAGCTGATCTTTTTTTTTGTTTATTGTTTTCTACAAATAGCCTTACTCATTGCCGCATTAGGTTGTCCATAATAACTATTATAAATTCTAAAAACAAAACATTATTTCTATTTCTTCTCCTTGGTGGTGTTCTATGACTTTCCTATGTTTCCATAGTTTGCAAATCGGCTCTTTCAATAATTACTAAGAAATGCAGCACAGTGTTAATTCAGTATTCTTTTTAGTATAGGAGGAGAGGGGGAAGTCCCTGTTGCTGTTGGAACTGCTAAACTTGTGCTCCTCAGTTTTTGCCATAATTCCATGTTAATCCTGTGTTTTTAACCTAGTGTTTTACATGTAAATGTTCAGTTTGTTTTTCTGTGCTCATGTAAGAATCCGGTTTTTTTGTTCAAGTAACCAGTTGCAGTTATTTTACGATTTATTAAATAAAATTTCAAGGAAAATCAGGTTCGTTAAAATATTTAAGATAAGATGGGTCAAGAGATAAGAGTCCAGTGAAGCAAGGTGCAAGTAGTTGACCTTTGAGCCAGTAGACTGATAGCTCCAGCTCAGTGTTTACAAACATTGATATTTGCAATAATATCAGTACTTATTTTATTTCATTGACAGGTCAAAATATTTTACTTATTAAATTATTATAAAAAATCAATTATCAGCATTTTTTAGCTAAACCAGAACCATATATTATTTTTACTGCAAATAGTTATTGCCTTTTAGTTTGTTTGAATTTTTGATCAATCCAGTTTTCCTGGTCAATAGTGTTAATTTTTGACAAAAGAAATGGATAAAAATACAATAGATGGGTGGGTAAGGAAACAGACTACCCGAAAAAAAGGAACAACTAAAGGAAAAGTTGACATTTACTACTATTCTCCTAAGGGAAAAATATTCAGATCTAAATGTCAACTCAAAAAATACATAGATGAAAATAAGCTCAAATTAAATATTGATGACTTTGATTTCAAATCAGTTATAAAATCACCCACTAAATGCAACACTTTGGAAACTCCAAATAACATCACTCACAATGAAAGTGCTATCTCTGCAGACATATTAGATGTTATATCCAGTACACCTGAGACTAGCTTATGTCAAAATCAAGCTAATGATAAGTCAGTGTTAACATTACACTCGGGACTTGAAGAGGTTTTCTCTAATGAATTCTCAATTGATTTGGAGGATAAATTACATCAGTTAAGTAATTTTTTAAATAAAGCCAACGAGGACATGCTTCAATTGAAATTTGAAAAGGAAAAAGTTGAATCATCACTTCAAGTATTAGAATTTGAGGCAGAGGAAACAGTTCAAAATCTACAACTGAAACTAAACAATTTATCAGAAGAAAATTATACTTTAAAAGGGTTACTGAGTGATAAAAACAAAGAAATTATGTATTTGAAAGAAAACGCATCAGTTGCCAATGTAAATGTACTGATAGAAAAAACTCCCTCAGGAGGGACTAACAATAAAAATGATGTAGTTGAAAGTGAAGAACTACATACACTCAATAAGAGATTAAAATTGCTTCAAACTCAAGTCGACAGCTTAAAAAGACAGAACTTACATCTAATGGAAACCATTCAACCATACCCGTTACCTGACCCTGAACTAATAAGAGAGAATGCAGCATTGAAGAAGAAAATTGCATATATGGAAAGTAAATTTACAGAAGAATCTAACTCTCATAAAGAAATAATAAGACTACTTCAAAGTGATTCTGAAAATTCAAGTCTGCAAAATGAAAAACTAAAAAATGAAATACAGCTTCTGAAAGATGAAAAACTTACAGAAATTACTGATGACAGCTTTGTAGTGCCTAAACACTTTGCTAAATTTGTAGACAGATCACAAGTTGTCACTGACTCAATCAACCTATCTAACAGATATGAATTATTGTCATCTAAAGAAACACCTGTTTTAAAGGAGTTGCCAGTAGATTCAGTTACATCTGAGAGAATGCCTGTTCACACACCTCAACATTTAGTGAAATTTAATGAAATTGGACTTACTAAGACTATTAAAAACTACAAGCTTGGACTTCAAAGTTCAAAGAAAAATGATTTACTGTTGATTTCCGATAGTCATGGTAGGGATTTGTACAGAAACCTCATTGAAATATGGCCTACTACAAATGTAAATATTTCTGTCATCTACAAGCCAAACGCTCAGCTAAATGGAGTGGTAAACAGCCTTGACAAACTTACTAAAACGTTTACTAAATCCGACACAGTTATTGTCATTGGAGGTTGCAACGATATTGTAGGTGGTGACAATAAACTAACTGCTAAGTATCAGGAGATTATTGAGAAGACCGCTCACACAAATTTAATTATTGCAGGCTTGCCCTACAGGCATGATGTTCCTGGTTTAAATAACCAAGTAGCCTTAATAAACATGGAACTTGAAAAAATCATTAGCCAAAGTGATCATGCTAAATTTCTCCCCATCAACTTACTACCAAGGCAAATGTACACAAAGCATGGATTGCACTTCAACCGTTCGGGGAAAAAAGAAATTTCAAAAATGATTAAGCTCTGTATTTATGGAAACAACCTAAATCGCCTGAAAAATAGCTCAAACAATCAGGCTGATAAGGTGCCGGTATTCTGTGAGGAGTCTTTTTTTGATATCACCAAAAAGGCAAAGGGAATACAAGTGGTGGAGGCAGATATGTATAAGGTAATTGAGGGGCTAAGGAACGATAATTCTGTAGCCTTCGCCCATACCATCTCCGGCGACTTCCATCACCCAAGAAGAATGACTGCGGGTGTGGCCGTGGCTTTTAGGAAACACTTTGGGAAGCCTGATTTAAAAGATTGCATAACAAACTTTTTGACATGCCAAAGGACCAATCCTAAACAAGCAACGGTATATAGCCTTATAACCAAAGAACACTTCAACGGCAAACCCACACTGGATACTTATAACTCTGCTTTCAAAGATCTTACAGATAACATTAAGACCAAGAGCTTCAGAGTGCTAATCTGCTCCCCAATGGGGTGTGTCCGAGATCTTGTGCAGATTGAGCATTTTGCCATGAAGATAAGCGAGTTTCATGATATCACCGGTGTACCGGTCATAGTTGTCACCAACATGCAACCAGGAGCTCAGCGTGTTCTCCATCATGGACTCTCCCATCCCCAATTCACCCTCAAACTTCGACAAGAATTACAAAAAGTATCACAATCAAGAGAAGTGATTTCACAACATCAATTTCAACTTCAGCTACAATCACCACCTAGTAGCTCTCAACAGCAGTCATCACCGGATCAGCATCCCTCAACACAACAACATCCCTCAACACAACAACATTCCTCAACACAACAACATCCCTCTGCAATAGAAGTTCCTGATGTTGGCTCCACAGGCTCCCGAACAGTTCCTGGTCATCTCAACTACAATGAGGTGTTGAAGAGTAAACCATCAGTGTCAAGTGCCAAAAAGCAGAGTAAATGTGTTGTGTCAAGTGGTGAGAGCAATGAGGTGATAGATGTAGATTCCTCCTTAGATAATAGCTTACATTTGTCTTTAAACTAAGATATCCTGACAAAGACCAAATGCCTGCTAAACTAGTTCTAGACAAATTTTATAATTTCAACAGTGTAAAAGCTCAGAGTAATATTAGCTCAGATTCATTAAAAAACAGCGATACTTACAGTAAATTTAATTTAGTAATGCACTACAATTGTCAAGGGTTAAATTCTACTAAAATATCAGAGCTCAATTTATTTTTATCACAGTCCAAATTAAATATTAAAGTCATGTCATTAAATGAACTTTGGTTGGATAATGATTCTATTTCTTTACTCAATACAATAGATAATTTTAGAATTGCTGACTCTTATGTAAGAAATAGTAGCCTAAGGGGTGGTTCATGTATATTAGTTGATAATAATTGTAAATACTTAACTGTACAGGAGTTTTCTTATTTAAATGAAGATTTTATTTTTGAATGTTCTGCTATCGAACTTGTAGATTTCAATTCAGTATTTTTTTCCATTTATACAGTGCCAAATTATAATTCAAGTAAATTGTTTTTGGACAAACTTGAAAAGCTACTTGTTAGTTTACAAAAAAAAACCAAAAGGAAAAATGTTTTTATAACAGGGGATTTTAATATAAACATTTTAAAGGATGATGCAATCACAAGTAGGTTTAAGGAAATTGTTGAATGTAATGGTTTCTGTTTGCAGTTTAATGAGCCAACTAGAATAACTGCCAATTCATTTACTTGTATAGATAACATGATTACAAAAAAAATGTATAAAGTAGACCACAAATCGAATAATGATTTAGGTTTATCTGACCATAACGCCATATTCCTGAGCCTCCCTGGGCAATATAAGAATATTTTGACTACTGGTAATAATAATAATACAAGTTCCTATACCAAAAGAATAATTTCAAATAGAAAAATTGATGAATTTTGTACATATCTAAACCAAAATATTAATTTTACATTTGATCCAGTCCTGAACCCAAATGAAAACTTTAGCAACTTTTTAAGTGATTTT